GTAATGTCCGAATCCAGCTTTTTCTCCTCAATGGTTGTCTCATTGTTGCAAATACAATAATAATCCATCATTTTCCCCTGACAAGAAATGTAATATTTATCATGTCATAAATTCTCATATTTGTTTTAGTTCATTTCTGAACTCTGTTGTCCCCCATTGATCTGCCTATCATGAAGCAGTACAATACTCTTTTAATTGCTTTAGTTTTATGACATTTTAATAAATGGATAGAGATCATTTTCATTTGACTTTTTTTCATGTTTTCCCCTTCCTACTCTCACATAATCATTTGCCTAGATGATGTTTAGATCAATTTAGTGATATTACAGAGACAAATTCTGTTGGTAAGTTTTTTGGAATCACTTTCAGTGTATAGATCATTAATGACATAAGCAACATCTTTGCTTTATTGATTTTTCTTATTCCATAACAATATGTCTTTTACATTTATTCCTAACTTCTCTTCTTATCCAACTTAGATTCCATGGTCTGGAGTTACAATCTTTTCCTTGGATACTGTATGAGTTTCCTATCACTGCTATAACAAATTACTATAAATTTAGTGGTTTAAACAACTCAAATTTATTATTTTACAGTTCAGAAGTCTGAAATGGGTCTCACTGGGCTAAAATCAAGGTGTCAGCTGGGTTGCAGTCCTTCCTAGAAGCTCTATGGAGAATCTGTCCCCTCGCCTTTTGCAGCTTCTGGAAGCTGCCCGCACTCCTTGGCTTGTGGACCCCTTCCTCCATCCTCAAAGCCAGCAACACTGCATGTCTCTGACTCTTCCTTCAGAGCCATACCTCTCTCTGACTATAACTGGGAAAGTTTCTCTGCTTTTAAGTGCCCCCGTGATTCATTTGGGCCCTCTCTAATAATCCAGGATAGTCTCACTACCTCAAGGACTTTAACTGAGCACATCTGCAAAGTTCCTACTGCCATGTGAGGTAACATTCACAGGTTCCAGTGACATCTCTGGGCGGGGCGAGGGGGGGCATTATTCTGCCTGCCACAGATATAATCTCCACTGCCATGTCTCTCTCTGCCATCATTGAACTCAGCTGGAATATCCTAACTCTAGTGAGAGGAGACTTGAGTTAACCGGGGCTGGGGAATTGAAAGTGCAAACTGGTGTGTTTTGCTTTAGCAGTGTTTGACTGCCAGAATGTTCCATGTGCAATTTAAATCCCCAGCTCCTAACTTCCAATGAACCTTTTGGGCTGCCCTGCAATCCTGCAACATTGCTGCTGGTCCATCAGGTCCCCTCTCTTCCACTCCTCTCCTCTCTCCTCAAACCTCCAGGGCTTCCTTCCCACCCTCACTCCTAGTGTATGAAATTGCTGCCTATCTTGCTGAGAGTGGAAAACAACTCCACATGCTCTGCCATCATCTTGTAATCTACCCGCATCTGCACCCATATAACCCATGTCCACCTATCACTCTAGCACAAGAGGCAAAGTCTCGGCTTATGCTGTGGATCCCACCCCTGCAGTCCACTCCAGGAAGTCACTCCAGTCATTTCCCAACACCTCAATCTCCAGTTCTTCCTTCTTTATGGTGAATTGCAGCAGCTGATGATATGTTATAATATCATTTATCTAAGCCCTGGAGGCACAAGTCTCACAGAGAGAGGGGTTCTCCAAACAGATACCCATCATTAAACCCCTCCAATTGTCCTCAAGTGTCAAAGAACAGAAATGTGAGCTTGAGTAAGTTTCCACTTTCATTACACCCATTGTCTCATTAGGCGTGGTCTCACTTCTTTGAGTTCTAGGCCCTGGCTGCAGTATTTATTTCCCTGAGTAATTCATTCACACAGTGAACCTGACCCTGTTTAGATGGTTTGCATGGAACCAAGTGGCCACCCTCAGAGCAAAGCTGCCATCATAGCATTCAGCATTGACCATGCACTCAAAGGACCTTGGTAAACACAGAGGGAGCCAAAAAATGTATACACATTTTAAGAAAGGAAAAAAACTGTATTAAAATTGTAACACAATGAATGACGCTAGTATTTTTTATTAACACCATTTTTTGAGCGAGCGTCATACTACATACTGCTACCATAATTCAATTCAACTTTGAAACATACTACATGGATAACACTGCTTAAAATGTGTACATTTTGGGGGACACCCCCAGTATTTGATGTCTATAATCATCTGCCCCAAAACAATAGCTTCAGAACTCTTGGGTGGTGTCTATTTCTTTCCACCAGCCACACGATCCTTTCTCTCTTTCATAAGTATGAAACTATTTGTAAATCATTAGTTCTCGCTTTGATAGAAAATAACAAGATGAGTTCTGTAGCCTGAACACCTTTGAAACTTTTTTTTAAAATTGGGGAATTGGGGGAGGGAACAGTGTTGGGGAATTGGGGAAGGGGAACAGACAAGTTGCTGTCCTTTTGTGCTTCCATCTAGTTGTGGAGGACATTGCTTCACTGGCCCATGTTGGTATGATATTGTGCTCTTCCCGGGTGAGGCAGTTGGTCGCCAGTCATTGGTCGGCCACTCACAGCAGCTCCGCTGCTCACACCGGCTGCCGGCTGCTCACGCTGGCTGCCAGCCACTCAGGTAGCCCACAGCAGCCCACTGCAGCCCCACTGCAGCCTACGCCATCGCCGGTGACTCACAGCAGCTCAGCTCTAGGTTGAGCTGTTGTTCAGCATCTTAGCTGTAGAGGGTAGTGTCACTGGCCCTCAATGTGGGATCCAAACCGCAGCCCTGCTGCTCAGAGCTGGTGCTTCCAAGCGAGCTCTTAACCAGCTGAGCCACTCGGCCGGCCCTGAATCTCTTATAGAGTAAATCTTTTCCTGAAGGTGCTAGGGACCACATAGTCTCAGAAATAAATGATGAATACAGAACTTCTGGCAGTCAAATTTTATAAAATTTTCTGTTTGATAAAGGTTATTTATTTAGGGGACTCTTTAAAAAGCAGAAACAAAGAGAAACATCAAATTAACTGGATTTAAAAACAAGCTACAAAAAATATTTGTTCCCTGATATCTTATCTGATGTGCATCCAACCAAGGTTTCCTATAACTTTTTAGAATCATCATTCCCTTCGTGATGAATTAGGTTTGTCAGCAACATTTCTACTTGTTTTTAAAGCAACTGAAAGAACATCTGTGCTTGTAAAAGGGAGCTAGGACTGGTGGACCCCACCTGGGCCACCTTGTGAGTTAATTGGGAGGTGAGGGCAGGCCTCATCTCCACCCTACAGCCAAACCCAGGCAAGGTGAGCCAACGAGTCTGTCCTAGGGAGAAGCAATAATGGGCCCAACAGTGACAGTACTCATTTTTCACCAATTGTCAAAGTGGTTTTCTTCTTAATTAACCTGAGGGTCTCTGTATGTTAGATTAATATGAAAAGGTATAACAGGTGTAGGGATTTCCTCCAGGGAGGAACTGGCTGCAGTTGTGGTGACAAGCAGAACATGACAAGGAAGCCGAAGGAGCAAGGCGGAAGCCAGTGAGGTGTGCCTGGCCCCCCAGGCCCTTGCCCTCATCTACCTCTCCCTTTTCCTGAACTCTTTCATGACCTCCGGCAGAGTCCCAGATTCCAGCGTAAAGAATACAAGTGGCCCTAAGAGTCGCCATCCAATTAAATCCTCTTTGAGGTCAGTGTTTTTGTGCTACTCTTTCTCGTCAACAAAACAGAGCCTCCTACTGCAGAGAGAGGTGAACTGCCCAAGCTCACGCTTGCAAGGATTGATGGGACAAGTCCTCAGATCCTGGTTTGCAGACCCCCAAGCCTTTTCCATGAGCCACAGATGAGCCAAGAAAACAGCAGCACCAGCAGCATGGTTGTGGACAGACTGAGTCCACGCTCATTTGTTTTATCAAGGCTACTCAGTCACTGCATGTGGGCACTTGGGGCCTGACAATGCTTGTTGGTGGGGACTGTCCGGTGGACTGTAGGATGTTTAACAGCATCCTGGCTTCTACCCATTAGATGTCAACTGCATCCTTCCCCAAGTTGTGACAACTACAAGTGTTGCCAGACATTGCCAGATTTCACCTGGGGGTGTTGGGGTGGGGGGAAACCATCCCTGCCTGAAAACCACCTATCTATGTGTGTATGTGTATATATGGGATATGGGTTATATTATGGATGAATATTCATGACACATCCCCTCAACCTCCTAATAAAAGAAAACAAGGTAGAAGTTCTGCAGATACGGAAATCCTCCAGAGCGATCTCTAGCTTTTAGATGCTTGCTGTCCCTCTCCTGCTTCCCTTGACATTTCAGGCACACCAGCCAATGTTGCTTTGTATCGCTGGTTTACTCTCTCTGTATAACACTGTACCTTTTCATTCTACCTCAGATTACCTTTCTGCTACACACTAATATCAACTCTAAATTACTCTTGTACTTTAGATAGTAAACATTCAGAAACAGACTTTTACAGATGAAAGGGTTTCAAATACAGGCTTCTCATCTTTACCAGAATCAGGATCTGGGATTGTAAAACCTCCGATGACCGGGCCTGCACTGGCTCCAGTTTCATAATGGTGAACCCCCAGCAGAGACACGCCAGGTGAAGGACCGGACAAAAACGAGTTAATATCAGGCCTGATGCTGGGTTTGCAGAAGGCCAAATGGCACATTTAACAGAGTGTTAAAACATTCTTTTCAAACGGTTATTTTGAAATGCTGTTGAGATAGACACAGTTATAATTCTAACCCTTGAAGTTGACCTTTCTGAAGCTTCTTTTTAATTGGTGGCTCTGAAGCCGTGTAGACTGTTGAGACACACATGCTTTCCTTTGTAAGCCCCCAGTTGACCTTCTCTTGAAGTAAACATATTAGTTGACATGTACATTGTCCCACTTGAACGTGTCTTTCAAAATGGACACAAATGCCCGCCAACAATTAAGAGCTGCAGTTTCCTTCCTGTGTTACTGTTAGGTGTGAGATGAGCTCGCAGCTTGCGGCTATGGCAGAGCAGATGTTCCACATGCAGCCTTCCCTGATGGGATGACAGATGGGGCCTTACCTTTGGGAATGGTGATCTGACAGCTCAGGTCACAGTCCTGCTGCAACTGATAAAAAGCCACTTCCTGCAGCCGGGCTCGCTCCAGCTCTGAGAGGCTCTGGATGGGGACTGACCTCAGCCGCACGCTGCGGCCCGACATGCTGTTCCAGGTGAAATCACCCTGCAGGCCAAGGGGAAAAACAGCCAGTTACACAGTTCATGGACCTCTTGCAAGCCTCATCTTCTCTCTTAGGCAGGAATAAAGTCAAGTAAACATCATCTTTTTGTTCCCAAATTGGCTCTCAATCCCTAAAATCCAACCCACTCTTACTTAACCATGGATTTTCTCAGTCAGTTGCAAACATCAAAATCTCGAGTACCTGCTGGGTCACTTGGTCCAACACAGTGATGCATACACAGGCCAAAGAAAACTCTGTGGAAAGATGTTTCAAGGGTCCTACTTCCTCTCTCTTATGTGAACACATGGAAACTTTGGGTTTTGTATCTCAGCAACAGGAAAAGCTGCTGCTAACTGCCATCATGTACACTAGACATAGGAGGGCGACTGTGTATTGATAGCTTCCCATGTACCAGTGACTGTGCAAAGGGCTTTTCAGTTATTCTCTCCAACAACCTTATGAGGTGGCCACCATTTCTGACCCTATCTAATGTAATATTCAATACCATAACAACGTTACCTAATATAGTGTAGTATATGATATATTGCATTGTCAGAAAAGTCATGACGTATTTTGTCTATGTTTTCCAAAGGTCATTTATTTATATAAAGAACAAAGATCAATCAATATATATTGCCCGTTTTGTTCGATAACCTTTTGCCATCTTTCAGTGAGCTTCATAATTCCTCGTTCATAGAAGGACTTGTCTTTATTTGCAAAAAACTGAACAAGGTGCTGATTTACAGCCTCATCTGAATTGAATATTAAACCATGCAAGGAGTTTTGAAGAGAGCGAAACAAGTGGAAGTCTGATGGCGCAAGTTCAGGTGAGTATCGTAGGTGTGGCAACACATCCCATCCAAGCTCCAATAATTTTTTTTTAATTTATTTTTTT